ATATATATATATATATATATATATATATATATATATATAGATCATGTTGGGTTTCATAGATGTAGAGTTTTGACTGACGATCGCTTTAAAGTGTGAAACCCAGGGTCACAAACTCACATCTATCCAACCAAATATGTTAGCTCTATCTCTGATATTGAGCGCTTTCATAATAAGTACTGCGCATATAATAAATAAATAATTATATATATAATATATTGCACATACATATATATATTTATATTTATATACACACACTTTTCACACACACACACACACACAAACACACACACACACATATATATATATATATATATATATACAAAAAAGAAAGAGGTTGAATCTGCCATTGGTGATCACCTATTAAATATCTATTGCTTACAGGACGAACTATCCCTCTGACTTTTTTTTCTGTCATACACAGGGCTTGGACGAAACTCCATTTAGACATCTTGGAGTCTATTATTATTAACATGCAACGTCCTGCTCTGTGTAGACAACGGGAGATGAAATAAACGTTGTCCTTATTCGGGGAAATTATTACCTGACTGGGAACATATCTATTAATAATTTTTTCTTCCCCCCCCTCTTATATGACTGTTGGGTAATTTGTGTGTTCGCTATCGTTATTACTTGCTTTGGGGTGGAATAGTCTAATTTGTTGGTCTATAAGGTAGTTAGGGAAACCGTTGTTGATTAGTGTTTGTTTAACGTTGTTAAGTTCTTTGAGAAAGAGTAGTCGAGAGGATGAGTTCTGGTGTGCTTTATTTAGAAAGTTTTTATTACAGCTATTTTGTACCTAAGTGGGCACTCGCTTTTGAAATTAAGGTGGCACGAGTTTTTGCTGGTGGGTTTTTTGTATAATGATGTAATGAAAGTGTTATTGTTATGTTCAACGAGGATATCTAAGAATGGTAGTTTGTTTTTTTGGCTAAGTTCATATGTAAAGTTAAGGACGGGGTTTTTTTTCTCAAATGTGGTCTTAAGTGTCTCTATTTCTTTAATGTTATCAGCTAAAATGAAGATATTGTCTACGTAGCGAACATAGATTTTCGGTTTGTGGACCTGTGTAAATATAGTATTTTCTACGTGGGACATGTAATAGTTGGAGAAGCATGGACCCAGTGGATATATATATATATATATATATATGTGTGTTTGTGTGTGTGTGTGTGTGTGTGTGATATACTTGCAGTGAGTGTGCAAGAATATATATATAAGTTGAAAAGACTAAAACGACAAATGAATGTTTATCGATATTTTGCTGTAGAAGCTATTGCACGAATCATCCCACCCTGTTACATCTTGCAGTTTTACGGATTATCAAACTTTGGCAAATTATTTAAAAACAATTAAGGGACATAATAAAGACTTACTGATAATTGATTTTCTGATGATTTATCATTTTTTTCTAATTTCGAGATTGCTCACATGTTTAATCCAGAGTATTCTCAGCATCCTACTGTGGAACATTATTTCTGTTGCTTCAAGTCTCTTCAGTAAATTCTCCAGTGTTCACTTCCATATAGGAAGACTGATATTACATAACTGTTCAGTACTCTTTTCTTTGTTTCTCTTGCTTCAAGTCTCTTCTTCATCTGTGAAGAGATTTTCCAGCATTCACTGCCATATAGGAGGACTGATATTACATAACAGTTCAGTACTCTTTTCTTTGTTTCTCTTGCTTCAAGACTCTTCTTCATCTGTGAGGAGATTGTCCAGCATTCACTGCCATATAGGAGGACTGATATTACATAACAGTTCAGTACTCTTTTCTTTGTTTCTCTTGCTTCAAGTCTCTTCATCTGTGAGGAGATTGTCCAGCATTCACTGCCATATAGGAGGACTGATATTACATAACAGTTCAGTACTCTTTTCTTTGTTTCTCTTGCTTCAAGTCTCTTCTTCATCTGTGAGGAGATTGTCCAGCATTCACTGCCATATAGGAGGACTGATATTACATAACAGTTCAGTACTCTTTTCTTTTGTTTCTCTTGCTTCAAGACTCTTCTTCATCTGTGAGGAGATTGTCCAGCATTCACTGCCATATAGGAGGACTGATATTACATAACAGTTCAGTACTCTTTTCTTTGTTTCTCTTGCTTCAAGTCTCTTCTTCAAATGAGTGGAGATTGTCCTGCATTCACTGCCATATTATTTTGTTTCTAACATTTAATTTCTTAATACTTTGCTTACTTTTTCGAAGGCATCTTTCGTTGTCCCAATGCGCCTTAGTTTTTTTAGTATTGAACATTGCTTCATTTGTTTAAACTCTTCCCAAACATTTAAATTGTTGTACTTGCTTGATTTTTGTATCTCCAATTTGTATGTTAGGCTCTTTTTTTCCCAAACAACCATGCATACTGTCTTCTTGCAGTTAAGGATTAGTCCTTTCTTTTCGCTTTTCTTCACTGGCAGGACTAAAATGTGACATCCGCTTTGCTCATATCCGAAGTACTGATCGTAAATTCTTATACTCATTTATACAACCCCATTCGCGGCACTATATGTAAAACATCGCGCGCACCCGTGAAAAACGTTGAATGTAAACCGGTTTAAAATGTTGAGTACGCCTGGGGATATAGTGTTTGCAGGTGTAACTTTATCAAACTATCGAAGAAGAAAACAGTTTCAAAATAGACAATCTATCAGTCAGAAATGCCACGATAGAAAACCTGTGAAAAATTTGAAAAACTCATGAAAATTGTTTCACGAAAGCAAGCAATATTTTTTTTTATTATGGCTAGAAGGTTTAGGCAAGCGAGAATATGAAGATGTTATTCAAATGGGTCGTGGAAATTCACAACTTCATTTCAAAATCCAAGTGGATACTACCTGAACAACAAAACATAACGAAATACGAAAAAGAACGGCAAATAATTTTGAAAAAAAAAAAAAAATTAGACGAACATATCAAGAGTAATATATAGAGAATGAACACACACAGATTGGATGACTCGACTGCCGTCGGTCTGGAAACGTAATCTGATACAGCCGGTGCAGCCTCATGTCCATTACCATTCGTACGGCTGTATGTAAAAATCTGTCTGGATTCTCACAATATGAATAACCTATCATTGTTTAACGGAACATTTCTCAGTCTACTACACGCCTTAAATGTCGAAGCCACAAATGTACAGGAATGACAAACGTAACTTAGTCTGCATATCACTGGATCTAACCAACGCCTTTATCAACTGTGTCATGTGTCCTTAAAGACAGGACCGAAAGTGTTGTGAGTTGAATACCTGGTTAAGGCAGTGGAGAACTTGGAGAAGTTAATTAAGAGGAGATAACTGATAAGTGACATGTGACGTCCCTACAGCCTTCGCTCGCTCCTCGCTGCTTCGTTCGGGTGTCGCTGCTCCAAACGTGACGTCCGCCTGTTTGCGTCAGTCGTGTTGTCCCGTCCTGTGACGACCAACAGGCTTGGTATTGGTCGCGGCACCCAAATGTGACGTTCTAAACTTTTGGTGATTCAGATGGTAATCTGGTTAGATTCTATATCAGCCTCGTCGTTCCCAACTCGCTTCCAACGTCTGGTTACCGAAATAACTGTGTTGATCTCCAGTCCGCCTACCCACGTTGTGAATTGATCTTAGGCAGACGAAATCAATCAGTCGTTGGGGCCTTAATGCAAGTTGAGTTCAAATGAGGGTGGTATCGCACAAATATGTGTAAAAGAAAAGAAAATAATTTCAAAAGTTCAAAGTATCAAAAAAAGGATAACAATACTTTATATCGGGTTGCTGGATACATTGGACTGCGTCTATCTCCCGACCCGCTATATGGATTGTGACACGTTGTTTTTGTTAGGTGAGTTTTAACATCTTGAGTTGTCTGTTCTTTAAGAAACTGGTTCTTGGTGTGTCTTCAGGCGATAGTCGTAAAATTTTGGTGGTATGGATCTAAGTCGCTCTTCAAAATAAATTGTTCTTGGATTGAAGATGAGTTCGGAAGTTGCGCGAATCTTTCAAGTCAGCTAATGCGAGGCGGGACCCACTTCAACTGCGAACTGGAAGCTGATCCGAACTGGACTGAACTGGGAAACACTCTGATTTTCGTTCGCTACGACTTTGCTTATATGGACGCCGACCAAAACCGGGGTGGGCTTTGTTGGGGTTTGAGGTTTTTTGAAAATTCCCCTTCTTTTGTTTTCGGCCAGGAAAAATTTATTATTTCCATTTTTGGAAGTCTTCTCTTACCCCTACTTTCAGAGGGCGTCAACGATCCTCCCACTTCTTCGCAGTAACATCTTATACCTATCCTCTCAAAGGAGTAGTAGCAGGCCTCCTCCTCTGCATCACATGATCACCTCCGCCTGGCTCTCGTTAACATTCATCCAATGGTCGATCAACAGTGTGGGCGTGACCAGACTTTGTTTTGAAGGAAAAAAAAATCTTGCTCAAAAAAAAAAGAATTATCTCCTCTTTTTTCTTTTATTTTTTTCTATTTCCTTTCCTTCTTTTCTTTTCTATTCTCTCTTCTTCTCTGGCCGCCAACAGAACAATGCGATCAGTATAGTGATAACCTCAATTCTCATCTGGATTCGTCAGTCAGATTTTCGCCAATTATCAGAGTCCAGCAATTTTCGCCAATTATCAGAGTCCAGCAATTACGGCCAACTTTTCCGATAATATTGTTTCACTCTTATCGCCACATCCTAACAAGACCTTGTCTAAGGATATCTTTCCCTCGACAAAGACTTAACCTATTTTCCTTTGTTTTCTTTAGCTCGTGGGTGGTCAGGCAGTCCCGTGACACAGTTAAATGTTTATCTATTCTGTCCCGGAGTTTAGCTAGCCGATCTGGAATTTGTCAATTAGATTTTCGCCAGCACCAAGTGGCTGTTATCCATTCTGTCCCGGAGTTTAGCTAGCCGATCTGGAATTTGTCAATTATATTTTCGCCAGCACCAAGTGGCTGTTATCTATTCCCAATAATATAAGTCCGCCACCACAACACAGTCAATTTTTATCTATTTAGAATTTTCTGCAATAGCAATGAAACCTTTCACCATTAGTCACTATCAAAATTTCATTTCTTTCCCTTCTTTTCTTCCTTTTCTTTGCTTCCCAAATGGTGTCACAGACTTCCATTAGACATGGCACGTGGAACAAGAACAGTCTATACCAGCGGGTGAAATAAAGGGTACAGTTCGACATTCCAACTACCTGAAGAAAGCCGGAGAATATATCGGCCGAAATGTTGTGATAAATATGGCAACAAAGATGAGGACAATAGTCCGAATAATGCAAATAGGTTATATTTTCCATTTTCGAATAAGTTTTGGTTTGATGTAGTTTTTTAACGGTATATCAACCTCAATGGTTTATTTAATGCCGACAAGATTTATATTGATTGTATTATTTTTTTTCAAAAAATATATTGCTGGTAATAATATATTGCTGATAATCATTTTTTATTAAAAAATTAATTACTGGTAATAATTGTTTTACAAAAACGTATTGCTGGTAATACAACATATTTTTACACGTTTTAACCCCAGTTTGGGGGTTAATTAATTGCCCATAGCTGGGAACCTATCAGGTTCTACCAACCGGTGTCAGTGTGGACCTGGGAACACCAGCAATTAAAAGGGGATCACACGCTCCTCAAAAACTCCTGGCTAGTATTAATTTTTGTAATTTATATTTTATCCCTATTCTTATCCTAAAATATAAATAAGAGTTACCGCCCTTGATTTTCAAATGTATATTTAACAACAGAGTCCGTAAACGTCATTTTTTAAACAGTCATTAGAATTTCTAAGTTTTATTTTCAATTTCAAGAGTAAGTTTGATCCTAAATTTAAATTCAACATTAAATTATAGTGCATTTGAATAATTAACAAGAATAAATCTATTTTAATTGTCTTCCTGTTTCCCCTCCTCGTATTGTCAAATATAAATTGCAGCGCTAAAATAATAATAATAATAAAAACTGAAAGAAATTGGTATGAACACCACCCAGACCGGATTACAGCGATTGGTCCTGTAACAATTTTATGGGACTACACAATACGCAGAGACAGAACAATGAAAGGCTGCAAACAAAAAAAGTGCTCCAAGATGTAATGTATCTTTGAAGATCTACAAAAGGCTATCAAAATACAAGGACCTTGAAGAAAAAATATCAAAATATATCACATGAGAACATCAACAATCTTGTTGTAGTTGGAGCCCTCGGATTGATTGGAAAAAAATTCCAATAGAGTTATTGAACGACTTCCTGGAAGCCCATGCCTTAAAGAAATTCAAAAAAATGTTCTTACGAGTACAACCCACACCTTATGAAGGCCTTTATTTATGTATTTTTTCTCAGTGGAAAATTGTCGTGATGCCATTTCTGACCTTAGTTCTCTGGGTGGGACCCGGAAAGAAATGAGTACGCAGAAGAATTGAAAGGAATTAATAAAGTAATATTGATTACAGTAATATTAAAAATCTAATAATGGTCAATTTGTGAGGAAGAAAACATTTTGATGTTATAGGTTGTCAGGGGCGATTGCTGCGTGTGGCACATTTGGAAGAGGCCTGAAAACAATACCACGGGTTGACCCAAGCCTTGTGAGTGCAATCTGGTAGATGGAACCCTTGGTGGGCAGACGCCGGTGGAGGGCCTGGGCGTACTAGCCTTGTTCAGACGGTTTAGCACGCTAGATAACGCGCTCACTCTCTACCAGAAATTTTAACTCACCTTCGCTCAGCATAGTTGCAATACAAACCCCCGGGGTGGGGGGTGCATGTGGGTGTTGAACAAACACATATGTGCCTGAGCAGGCGTCTTCAATGGTGATTAACTAGCCAGACTAGTAGACTGGCATCATCGTATTTACTTTTTTTTACTTTACACTAAAATAATAATGGACATACAGTAAAAAATAAAAAGGTAGGCCATGGTAATAATAATATTAATATATATATATATATATATATATATATATATATATATATATATATATATATATATATATATATATATAATGTTATAATGTTAAGTTTCGCATCGTTCCAGACCTTCACATTTAATTTAGGAATACCTGACATGTCTTTTTCTCAGTCACAAGAGCCTGTTGTGAAAAAGAAAGCAATCCTAGATTTCAGATAAAAAAGAAGTCTTTTTTCAGTATTCTATAGCCCGGTGACAAAAGTTTTTAACAGCGAATATCTTTTTTCCATCTATCTATCTATCTATCTATCTATCTATCTATATATATATATATATATATATATATATATATACATACGGATATAGCTATAGATAATATTAGTGGTAAATATACACATACAAATGCAATCATATATCTAAAATATATAAATATACATACATACATACATACATACACATACATATATATTTGTATAAAAAATAATTCCAAGAGGATAGAATCCAGGTAGAACTCAATGTCCAGGACAGAGTAAGAATATAATAAAAAGGCTTAAACACTAATATTCCAGGGTCATAATTTATTCCATTGGAATCGTAAATACGATCCAATTCATCAGATCTACAAATTCAAAAAGAAAACAGAAAAAACAACTCCGGGAATAAAAAGTAAAATTTAGTGAGAGTGTATGTATGAGAGTGTGGGACGAAAGTTAGAGTCAATGAAAGCTATGGAGAGGGGTAACAGACGAGAGAAGATCACGAACGTCTAAAGATGAAGTGGTGGGGATTAAAATTTAACAGAGAGAAGTTTTAAAGAGGGGAGTCAAAGACGGTTTAAGTGAGAGAAATATGAATGTTCACGGATGTCTAATACATATATATATATATATATATATATATATATATATATATATATATATATATATATATATATATATAATTACTTAAATGGTAAATTCTGCCTGTCCGTTCGTGTGTCTAAAATTTCTCTCGGCCCACAATTTCTCTACGTAGATATATTATACCTTTTTGATATCAAGATGATTCTAGGATTGAAAATCTGCCGTTTTTCTGGAGCTTGAACATCCAACTTTGTGATTTCTGTCCGGATAAGAAGGGAACAGTAAAAAATTCAAATTATCTATCTATCTATCTACCTATCTCAATCTGTACATATCTATCTATCTATCTATCTATCTATCTATCTATCTATCTATCTATCTATCTATCTCAATCTGTTCCTATCTATCTATCTACCTATCTATCTATCTATTTATACAGGGTACCCTACAAAAAAAAAAACGGAAATTTTAGATTTAATATATGATATTAAAAAATTAACATATAAAAAAATAACTATAAATGTTACTATATGAATGGACTAAAAAATTTAAGTAACATATAAAATCTTAACCAATTATCGTTCCAGGCTATACTGCATTTCACATTTTCAACACGAGATGATTGTTTTCTTTAAGAAAGAACATCCAACTTGGGGAGTTAAAATATTTTAAGAAATTTTGCTAGACTTCTTTAGTTTGAACACGACATTGAACATTTGTGTTTTTAACTATTTTAAGCTACTAATTTTCTAACCATTGCTTTTGTATATGTCTATATTTCTGAGATGAGGTATTATGTGCACTAATTACATTATTTGGACTATTGTCCGCATCTTTGTCGCCATATTTATTACAACGTTCCGGCCCTTCAGTATCTGTCTATATTTCTGAGATGAGGTATTATGTACATTATTTACATTATTCGGACTATTGTCCTTATCTTTGTCGCAAAAGAGTGCGCGTTCAATACCAGGTTAAGGCATTGGAGATTTTGGAGAGGGGAGCATTTCGTGCCCGATTTGAAATTGGAAAACAAGAATTTACATTCTCACAAAAAATAAAACAGTCGAATACATAGTCTCCATTTTTTTTAAGCAACAGACCGTCAACTTACGGCCGTATCACTTTAAAACAACAAAAAGTTAAGCAATATCGAATCTTGTCTGCACTTATATAGGTGACTGTTTGAGAATACCAGCAGCTGTAAGCATGGATGTGCACTTGGTGTAGTAGATAATTGCTCGGAATTGTTAATCAGAAACTTTATAAGGAAACGAAAACCAAAATACTGGGTAAGAGTGTGAACAGGACGATCAGCGAACATACCTTCACATAGAGAAGAATTAAAAAAAAAATCTACAAATAATTAGTCCGACTTCAGTTGGAGATGTTAGAAGTATAGAATTGAAGTAGACTTTAGAAGGAACTGGAAACCCAGTCCTAAACATGAAACAATGGATACACCTCTACTCCTGTTCAAATGACTGGATAGGAATACGATCCAGGCGATAGGCAAACCTATCTAGTTCTAATGAAAGAAGGATAAATAGTAAATAAGATCACAGGGTTTAGTCGTACATGTTAGAAGTATAGAGTTAAAGTAGACTTTAGAAGGGACAGGAAACCCAGTCCTAAACAGGGAACAAAGGATAAACCTTCTACTCCTCTTCAAATGACTGGATAGGAATACGATCCAGGCGATAGGCAAACCTATCTACAACTGAAATAAGAAAAAGGATAGATAGTAAGATTGCAGGATTTAAGCGCAGATGTTAGAAGTATAGACTTGAAACAGACTTTAGAAGGAACCAGAAACACAATGCTAAACAGGAAAAATAGGAAAAACCTCTACGTAGCATGGACCAGAAGATACGTGTTTTCAAATGGGCGAGATAAAAAAAATGACAGACATATATCTTTTTTTTTTTTCAATGAGAAACGGAAAAACAAACGATCGATTAGAAAAAAAAAAATGTCTGTTATCTTTTTTCTTTTATTTTTTATAAAGAATATATATCAATCAGCAAATTTAAACAAAACGTGACCTTGATGTCAAGCTTCGAAGATCGAGTGTAAATTTTCGATTCTTTCTGCTGACGGCAAAAATAGATTGATTTCGTTTTATTTGCTTTTGAAAATCTAGATGTCAGTTTGGATAGGTGGTGGGGGCTGGGGAGAAGGACGTAGACTTCTCGAAGGGTCTCTACGGTCAAGAAGTCAGCCATTGCCGTCGGACGGATGGAAAGATAGAGAAAAAAATGTATTTAAATAAAGATTGAGCAGCGTGTTAATTTTAGAGAAAGTGAGAGTTTTGTATGTGCTTTAGGATTTTATATACGTGATGAGAGGAAGAGTTGAAGGCGTGGCCGGGATTGTAAATTTGTATATTCGTGTCGAATGACATAAAGAAAGAAGACGAAACAATGGTGTCTACTATTTCGAAATGTTTGTGTTTATAAGAATTTCACTTAACAAAATAACGTGTTGCTCTTGAAGAATATCGTTATGTTTATATTCTATCTGCTTATCTCTTGCAGTCTATAAATATCTATCTATCTATCTATCTATCTATCTATCTATCTATCTATCTATCTATCTATCTATATCTATCAAAATCTGTAAATATCTATCTTACTAGATATCTAGCTAGGTATCTATTGCCGTCTATTCATATCTATTTATCTATTTATCTATCTATCTAGTTCTATATCTAGCGTTATATTAAAGTCTATTGTTATATATCTATCTGTTGCAGCTTGATTATATCTATCTATCTAGTACTGTCTATTCAATTATATCTATCTATCTATCTATTCATATTTATATCTCTTATATTTAATTAATATATATCTATTACAGCTTCTTCGTATCTATCTATCTATTACAGTCTATTCAAATCTATCTATCTATCTATCTATCTATTACAGTCTATACAAATCTATCTATCTATCTATCTATTACACTCTATTCAAATCTATCTATCTATAACAGTCAATTCATAGCTACTTATATATATATATATATCAATTTGCTCATACATATCTATCTATCTCAAGACACATCTATCTCTCTAATTTTGCTCATATAAACGTTTCTCTCCTTCTCCACACACACACACACACATATATATATATATATATATATACCAAAGTATATAATTGGTATACACGGAATGAACACCATCACTTGATAAGACACAGAGTGTGTTGAAACAAAATGGCTATTTTTGTAGTGATTTTATAACATACTTATGTTATAAATTTTTTTTTTATAAAAATATTATATATATATATATATATATATATATATATATATCGCAGTCACTTTTTAAGTGTGTTAAAGCTTTTTAGCCTAAACGAACGTGACATTAACCACTTTTGACACACACACACACACACATATATATATATATATATATATATATATATATATATATATATATATATATATATATATATGTATATGGGAATGAGTAGCTTGGAGTAGACATGTTAAATGAAATTAACCGCCGAAAAATCATAAAAAAACATTATTCCATTTTACGAAGCAAATGTTCATAACATTCTGTCGTCGGAACTTCCGTATCGATTTCTTCTCATGGTACATACATGCATATATATATATATATATGTGTGTGTGTGTGTGTGTGTGTATATATATGTGTGTATGTGTGTGTGTTCGTGCGATAGTGATTCATGATATATATCATATATATATATATATATATATATATATATATATATATATATATATATATATCAACGTGGAAAACTTTGCGTGCTTTAAGACTTCATCGGACAAAGGTTACGCATGCGCACGAAAGGTGTTTAATCTCAAGATTATTTCTTTACATATGTTTTGGGTGAATTTGCATCCTGATTCATGCAATCTTTTACCATTTTTGTCAGACCTTCTATTGTGATTATTTATTAACAAAAAATGATTTAAAGAAAACCAAAAGTAAAAAGAATATAGATAAAATTAGCTGCATTATGTTCCACACAGTTCTTGCAAATGACCGTGATGCTCGAAACGACTTGAAATTAAGTCATCTAAGTATTTTATATTAAAATTCCGAACGTCCTATTTCCATACAATAATAAAATTAAAATAAAGAAAACATGGTCTCATGCCTGCTAAATAAATCATTTGTATTTACAAACATATATACATTAATTCAAAAGAGGAGTAAGCATTAGTCTGTACCTATGATAACGTCTTTGGCTAGTTGCTTAACGGAGAAATCTGATGTTTAGAAACACTTTTATTTTATTGTTGGTCCATAGTAAAAAGAGAAATGACTTTGATCGTCAGCGAAGATTCACTGACTGTCCGAGATGTTCATTCGATGTTGCACGATGTGTTTCTTTCAGCACAGGTTGGGGCGTAGGAAAATCTTTTGAATCTGCGTCTTCTCTTGTGGGATTAGCGGCAGTCACATTTCTGTTTTTATAATGATATTTTTATCTGAAAGTTTGAGCTTGGGCAGGAGCGTTTAAAGGCTGAATATGAAGAAATAATGCCAGAACTGTGAAACCTTGCAGGCATTCGTTTCAATTCTTGTTATTAATAATTGCATTGCTTCTTTGCAGGTACTAGGGTGGGCTGAAAATTTCATAGGCCCGATTATGAGGAGTTATCTTAGAACTGTGAAATCTTACATGCATTTATTTCAACTCTTCTTATTAATAATTGCATTGTTTCTTGCCAGATACGAGGGTTGGCTGAAAATTTCATAGACTGTCTATGAAGAAGTGATGCTGGAACTGTGAAATCTTGCATGCATTGTCACGCGCATATGCGCGATCAATGTGCACGTGCTTTTCGAGCGCGTAACGAGTCGCCAACTGGCCGATATAGACCCAGAAGGAGTGCACTCTAGGACAATATTTGAAGGCGTGAGTCGCCGCCTCCTCTAAATCAAGGTCATCCCGTGGCAGTCAGACAAATCCGCCAAGCCCATCTAAAGGCTACGTCATTGATATTGTCATGGTACCTACCTAGACCGACCGAATGAACTCTGCCGAACGCTGTACATACTACGCCTCTCAAGAGAGACGAACGGTATTGGTATTAGTACGGTATTGAATCGAGTCGAGTTGATAGCAGTCACGCCAAACCAATCGAACAGTTTTACTAACCCTTTCACTTCTTGTATTATTTCTCGTGTAATATATTCTTTGTTATTTCTACTCTTGTGTTTCGTGTCGTTCTTCCATGGTCCTAACCTTGGATCATAACAGATATTTAGCCTATTCTGAACTAGTTGCCAGGGAAGCTAAAGCTCAGTGTTGCTGAGACAATCCACCGTTAGCGCTCAAATCAGAAATAGCAGAACTCGGCCGCCGACAAACCCAACCGGTTACAGACTTTCCTAGGCCGAGAAAGGTCACTGGACCTAAGAATGACCCTCCAGGCCGGTAGATACTCGTGGAGGAAATTCGACTGATCTCGAGGCCTACGATTGCAGACAGCCCTAGACACAGGAGGAGTGATGGTAAAGCGAGAGAATGTGGCCCTCACATTCCCCTTCAAGATCAAATACTCTGTCAACGCGTGGCGTAGGAATGCCAACCTTGAGGCGTGTCGGCGATTCGCCAAGAGTGGCATCCCCAGCCCCAAACGAACACGGACGTTTGGCATATAAAAAAACCTCGTCGGCCTGATGCTTGTGACCACCCCATAAGAAGTGGGTGAGCAAGCGATCGACCGCCTTCTTATGTGTCTTACAGAGCGGAAGTACAGCCAAGAGGTAAACGACAAGAGGAAAGCTGTAATTGGCCTCACCCTAACCGTCAAGGAGAGCTGCCTTCGCCGCCAAATCTCGACCGACGCACTGACCTTTGCCTGTACTTCTGGCCAGTTATTCTCCATCTGGTTTCTGAGCCCGAACCATACTCCAACAATGCGGATTGGCCCGCCTGTCCAATGTATAAGTGTCCTGTTAGTTTCCATTTTCTCTAAATCTTCGTCGTTGCTCACATGTTTAGTCCATTGTATTCTCAGCATCCTTCTGTAGAACCATGTTTCTGTTGCCTAATGTCTTTTCTTTATCTGTGAGGAGATTATCCAGCATTCACTGCCATGCAGGAGGGCTGATATTGCATAACAGTTTAGTACTATTTTCTTTGTTTCTAACTGTTGAAACCTAACGAAGGTTACTGAATAGAATAATCGAATGAATGAACGATAATACTTAGGACACGAACAACACGTATAAGATTCGCCAGCGGCGCGTAGAAGTAGTAGTCAACTGCTGAGTCAAGTAATATTGCACAATGAATCTCCAACTGCAGACCAACGTACAGTATTATTACTGTATTTATTGTATGTAGGTATGGTACAACACTGACGAAATTTTCTTGTGTTTTAACACTTTGCTTAGATTTTGGAAGACATCTTCCGCTATCCCAATGCGCCCTCGGATTGCAGTGTCGCATTTTCCGTCCTGTGTTAAAACACTTCCCAGGGATTTAAATTATTGTATTTGGTTGATTTTTACATCTCCAATTTGTAATTTGCAAATTGGTCTGTCCCTTTTGCTAACAACCATACAACCAATTGTTAAGTCCTTTCATCTCCATTTCTCTCATTACTTTCTTCATGTGTTCTTATAGCTTCCTCTCTGATGAACTCAGTAAATAGTGGTTAATCTAGTTCCCCGTGAACGATTCGGATCGTTCAAGTGCATTCAGTACAACCTCAAACTTTATCTTGGTATGTTTCGTTTGTTACTAAGAGGATAATCAAAGATCTTAGTATAAATCTTATAGAACTCTCCTGTCATTCTGTACATCCCCCCGGGACCGGAAGTTAGTAATTTGCTGAAGTAACTATACTCATGAGTTTTAAGGGTCGAAAAGTTGGTCGAATGTAAATATTTTTCAGAATGTACAACTTAAGATGTCAGAATTACAGTCGTTTGTAATAAAATGTTCTGCAATCTCTCTTGATGTCACTTCGTTGTGTTTTCCGCCATACCTCTCTCTGTTGAATATTTTATTTCATTTTTCCTTTGTGCAACCCACATAAATAAAATCATATTTGATAGATTGTGCGGCGTATATTAAACGGGAAGCATATTAAGCACGTTTTAGTTTCATGCCTTCACACTGGTAACGTTTCATTAATTTTGACACGGTGATGACCAGTACAGCCTTTTTTTTATTACAAAACAAGTAACGTTTGCACGTGGATTTATAAATTCTCGTTGAATTTAATTATAACTTAAAGAAGACAAACATTCTGTCGAAATATTATTAAGAATTCCCAAGCATTGTTTTCTCTTTTTCTTTTCTTAAATTGCTCTCATCGCTAAGGTGTTGAAAGGGTTACGTCAATCAGTTTGTTTAATAATATCTAACAAAATCCTCGCCTTACGAATTGATATAATAGATTATGCGTACACTTGTGTTCCCCCTCACTGCAATATGATTGGCTGGTGTCCGTCATAAATACCGACGGGCGTGTAGGTGAGTCAAAGAGCTTTAGTCTGAGAGCTAAGTCTATGACGACGCCCATTGGACTACGCCATTAATCTACACTTCTTACCTGCGACTACCACGCGTACCAGTCGATTACTGCTACCGTATTCTACTTGGTTATAGTAGCCAAAACCACTTAGCTACTTCGTTCAAATATATCCCTTTCCGGGACATATCACGAATATTTATTTTAATAATCATTTTAAAAGAATTCATCAGATGTTGTTATTTTGTTTATGGTATCTGGATTTTAAGCGATTGCTTTACTCTCTTTCTGTCGTTCGATAGTGTGCGTCTGATAAACAAAATATCGCATTTATCTCGGCTGCCATTTGTTCTCGCGCTTTTGGCTGAGATCAATGTGTGGTATCTGTTCTTATCAGTTTTATCTGATTCTCTAGTTTCACTCCTGTCTTCTATTCTTTTTTTCATTTTTGCCACATCTCCCCCTTACCTATTTTTGTCTATTACTCGTAATTGACATATATAATACAATGACTGTGT